AACGAATAAAAGTAATATAAAACAAATAATAATAATTTAAAATTTAAAGACAATAAATTGAATGTACTGAAATCTCTCGTGGGACACTCACTGGTTGCCTTTCATGCCTGCTGGTTTTGTCTTATTCCAGCTAAAATGATCTCAGCCTGATTTGTTTGGAACAGAGGTTTTTTTTGCTTTTTTTTCTCCCTCTTTATTTCTAAAGTTTTGCACATGTAATTTGACATATCAGGCCCAATACAGCAAGTACCAACCGATATAAAGACATATATCAAAACAAATTAGGCCATTAAAATTCAGATGATAACAAAAAAACACGAAAAAAGAAAGAAAAAAAAAAAGGAAAAAAGGAAGAAAAACAAAAAAAACCAACAACAGCCCACGCACAGAGAACAACAACAACAAAAAATAAAATAAATTTAAAAATCAACTCCCTCCCAAAACCATAACAAAATGATCAGAGTTTAAGCTGATTGGTCCAATCAGTGTTGCCCCGGGAACGTCACTGGATGAATGTAATCTCTTTGCAGTGTGATCTTTACTGGACTTTAACACAGTTGAAACAGCTGCAAGTCCAAGCAGTTCATTTTATGCCCATCACATCAGAACAGGTGGAGACAGCGGGACCCAATGTTTCCTGTATAAACCCCACCCTTCCTCAGACCCTGTAGAGTCCTTCTTCATTATAGACTTATATTGTACAGCCCCGACCAAAAGTTTATGATCACCTGAAAATCATATTTTGCATAGTTGGATCTTAACAAGGTTCCAAGTTGAGCTTCAACACGCAGAAAATTTCAACATGCAATTCATTGAAAACAACCTTAAACTGAAGCGGGCTGTTTTACAGCTGATCAAACGTTTAGGACCAAGGAAAGAAAAGCGTCTGGACTTATTTGAGTTGCTTGAAGACGTTTCACCTCTCATCTGAGAAGCTTCTTCAGTTCTAAGGTCAAATGGTGGAGAGTCCCAGATATAAACCTAGTGGGAGTTTCCCCCCAAAGAGGGACAAAAGGACCCCCTGATGATCCTCTACCTAATCACATGAGCTGTCTTCAAGCTGTCTTCGCATGAGACTCAAACAAGTCCAGACGCTTTTCTTTCCAAGCTCCTTAGACTACGATGACCTGGATGACTGAGAACCTTCACAGACGTTTAGGACCACGTGCCTTTAAAAGGCCAAATCTGTGCAAAAATGTGATTCGCTGTCATTTTCTGTCAGGTCACGCTGTCATGACGTTCTGATGGCAAAGGCAGCATGTATTTCTCCTCACTGGAAGATCTCCAATCAAAGACAAGAAGCGACCTGCCTAGCCTGCCATCAGCCTCCGTTATAACTTATTATTGTACATGAATGATTGAGGAGCGTCTCGCTGCTGCACACAGAGGATAGTCTTTACTCTGCATGTCTTTTTCGTGATCTGTCTCTCGGTGTTATTGGATGGGAAGTAGACGGTGATTAATTATCTTTCTTCTCTGTTATGTTTTCTGTCTGTGTCTCTCCAGGGAGTTTTTCCTGCCAGCTACGTTCACTTGAAGAAGGCCATCGTCACCAACAGAGGGTAAGTGTGTAAACCTGCGACACTACACTGAGTGAAACCTCAGGCTCGGTTAGACTCACGCTTTCGATGAATTTAACACCCTCACTGACTCCAGCATCATGTTTCAGTTTGAGGGCTGAAAGCAGTCGTGTTGAACATAAAAACAGCAAAAAGCATTTATTGTCCTCTGAGCCTTTCTTTCTCTCCTGTTACTCATTCAGTCATTAGTGTCTCTTTTCTGTCTGAAGAGGATTTTAACCAGAGCTTCACGGACCGAGCGTCGCTAACAGCCTCTGCTGAGAGTGACAATACGTTATACTGCCAAACGTATTCAGTCAGCCCTGCATTTGTTCCAGTCACTTCCACAGGCTTTTAAAATAAATGCAAAGTTTCCTCATTGTCTGACTCACTAATGAAAGCTGCACACGTGGCAGCTAATACCTGCAGGCCAAAACGATCGAGTCTGTTTTTTGTCATAAAGTAGAGAAAAAGTGTATTATTCGTACCACCTGCACATGTGGCGTGGTTTGCAGCACACACATGCACACGGTGAGCCACTGCAATCATCTGTGGGAAACCCAGTTTTGCTTTTAAGAGCACCAGCTCTGCACTTGTTTTCAAGGTACTAATGAGGTTAACATCTTGGAGAAGTTGCCACAGTTTTTCGGTGGACTCAGTCCGAGTCTTCTGCTTGTATGATCCTGGACTGAGCCTGAGATGTTGATCTGGGCTCTTTGGCGCCCTGCTTCCTGCTGCAGGACTTGCTGCTCTGCTTTCAGCTGAAGAACAGTCTTTGTGAGTCTGGCTGCATGTTTAGATCGCTGTGAGTTTGGGGGCCGATCAGACTCCTTCCTGATGGTGTTGTGAGATAACAATCATCGAACATGCCAAAAGCCTTTCGCACCATACTGTATGTCATCATCTTTTAGTCACTCCAGATCTGATCCGATTTGAGTCGCCCTCGTGTACCGAATGTGGGATGATGCCACAGTCGGGTATATTTTATATCCGCAGTGCTGGGAGGCATTTTTCTTCTTCTGCAGCTAAAACTGTTTAGGAGGTAATTTGATGAAATCTGCTTTTCTGTTGGGATCAGTTGTTTTGAGACTCATTCTTTCTAAATAAGGTATAAACCTCCTTTTTTCTCATTTCCTTCCAAGTTCAACTGTACATATTTTAATACATTAGCATAATTATTTGGAAAAGCTTTAAAAAAACCCAAAACAAAACAAAACCCTCCAAAATTCAGATTAATCAGCGTTACAGAGCGTGTCGCGATTTGCATAAGAGTTTTTTAATTAAAGGCAGAGAGTAAATTAATTGGAATTAGTGAATCTTTTAGAGTTTCAAGTAGGCCCCCGGGGCAGAGACGGAGAGTTGGTGTATTTTACTGAAGGAAGATGGAGGCTGCTGCATGATGACAAACATAATTAAAGACTGTTGATCAAGTGGGTCTTAAAGCAGCAGAGCTTTCGATGTGCACGTGGGTGTGTGTGAGGGAATAAGAGAATTACACTGTGTGTGTCTTCACTCTACAAACAAATGAGCCATGTTCAGTATGAGTTACAGACACTCAAGGGGTGGTGTAGGTGGAGGCGTGTTGCTTCAGGTACCAATTAAAATCCGTACTGACAAACAGAATAAAGCTAGTACTTCATGTTTTACCTCAGGGATGATACGCTGGACCGTGCATGCACTTGATTGGTCAGCTCGGCATTACATCAGCTCGTGTTGAGCCAACTTCAACTCTAAGTTTTCTTGCTGGAGCTCCCTGAGCACCACCTGCTCCCTGCTGCACTTATTCTAACTCACTGATGTTTCTTCTCAGTTCACGAGCACTGTGGTAGTTCAGACTGTGTTGAACCTTTACTGTAATTACAACACAGAGAGAACGTTTGGAAGAATGGAACAAAATTTACTGTGAGAGAAAATCTATTTGGTGATTAGACCCCGATGACCCAACGTGTCATTACGGGATCCCAGCGGTGGCAGGATTTAGGACGGGACCCCTGGAATCAGGACGCTGGTGATTTAGATGGAGGCTTGGATGGAGCTCTGAGTGATTCGGGGGAGGCGGAGATGGGGAGGAGGCTGGTTGCACACATGAGAGCCTGAAAGAGAGAATGACAATGAGGACCGAGACATAATGTAATGATGTAAGTGTTGCGTTTGAGAGCGTGGGAAAGTGGAAGTGATGTAAAGAACAGGAAAAAAGACAGACATATAACTTAGGCGTAAGCTTCATATAATTATTGAATTATGTACATCAATGTTTTACATTACTGCATTAAAGAAAACGGGATGTGATCACAGTAACGTGGTACACCCACCAACAGGGCTCGATCGCTGCGATTGGTCTGCTGGGTAAAAGGTGACGAACAAAGAATCAGAATCAGAATCAGAAAGGGTTTATTGCCAGATGTTGAGCAGGTTTACAACATTAGGAAATTGCTGCGGTGCTTCAGTGAAACATACTGTCATAAAAATGTAAAAATAAGAATAAGAATTAAAAGTGCTAAGTGGATAGATATATACATGATATATACATGAGTGCAGGTGGTGATCAGTGCCAAACATGGAATGATGTTTGACACAGCGTAGGGTCATGTGTTAGTGGCGGGGACAGTCATGTGGTTATTGTTCATGTGTCCAACAGCAGAGGGGAAGAAACTGTTCTTATGGCGAGAGGTTCTGGTGCGAATGGACCGGAGCCTCCTGCCTGAGGGGAGCAGGTCAAACAGACTGTGTCCAGGGTGAGAAGGGTCAGCTGAGATCCGAGCTGCACGCCGCAGTGTCCTGGAGGTGTACAGGTCCTGCAGAGATGGGAGTCTGCAGCCAATCACCTTCTCAGCAGAGCGCACAACACGCTGCAGTCTCTGTTTGTCCCTGATAGTGGCTCCAGCGTACCACACGGTGATGGAGGAGGTGAGGATGGACTCGATGATTGCAGTGTAGAACTGCATCATCGTCCGTGTTGGCAGGTTGAATTTCTTCAGCTGCCTCAGGAAGTACATCCTCTGCTGGGCTTTCTTGATGACGGAGGTGATGGTGGGCTCCCACTTCAGGTCCTGGGTGATGGTGGTACCCAGGAAGCGGAATGAGTCCACAGAGGTGATGGGGGTGTCAGTCAGGATGATGGGGGGGAGTGGGGCTGTGTGCTTCCTGAAGTCCACAATAATCTCCACTGTCTTCTGGGCATTCAGCACCAGGTTGTTGTGGCTGCACCAGGACACCAGACGTTCAACCTCCCTCCTGTAGGCAGACTCATCCCCGTCCGAGATGAGTCCGATAACGGTGGTGTCATCTGCAAACTTGATTAGCTTGACAGACTGGTGGGTGGAGGTGCAGCAGTTGGTGTACAGGGAGAAGAGCAGAGGAGAAAGAACACAGCCCTGAGGGGAGCCAGTGCTGATGGTCCGGGAGTCCGAGACATTCTTTCCCAGCCTCACATGCATGGCGCCGCGGATGGTCGCCCTGGTGCTTCAGTGCGTTACTTTTGTTTTGTTTTTGTGCATTTCTTCTGTGTCTGGGCACTCCTCTGGATATTCGTACACCAGAGAAGAGCTCCTTAACTACAGGACTACAACGCCTGTGGATTTATTTCCAATATTTGTCGCATCTGCGGCAGATTTACTGCTGACCCTGACCAGGAAAGCGAGACGCCGAAAGAGAGGGAAGCGAGCCGGCGCACTCGTGCGTTTGAGGAGACGCGGACTGCGAACCGCTCTTCCTGGGATCTTCCTTTCTAATGTACGATCACTCAGGAATAAGACAGACGAACTGGCCCTGATGAGAAGCATGAACAGAGACTTTGCCTCCTCCTGTGTGTTATGTTTTACGGAGACGTGGCTCTGTGAGGACATCCCGGACAGCGCGCTCAAGCTGGAGGGCTTTCATCTGCTGCGCGCTGACCGGCAGGCCTCTCTCTCTGGTAAGACCAAAGGTGGAGGTGTCTGCTTCTACATTAATAGTGGCTGGTGCACAGATGTAACAGTGATTGCTCAGCACTGCTCTTCCTCTCTGGAATACCTTTTCATTCACTGCAAACCGTTTTATTCTCCGCGGGAGTTTGCTTCATTCATCCTGGCCGCTGTTTACATCCCGCCAGACGCAGATGCGCAGGCAGCTCAGTGCGCACTCGCGGAGCAGATACTGCACATGGAGCGGACATTCCCGGACTCTCTCATCATTGCTCTTGGGGACTTTAACAAAGCCAATCTGAGCCATGAGCTTCCCAAATACAAGCAGTATATTAAATGCCCGACCAGAGAGGAGAGGACATTAGACCACTGTTACAGCACGATCAGCGGGGCCTATCGTGCGGTGCCCCGCGCTTCACTCGGACTTTCTGATCACGTCATGATCCACCTAATCCCCGCGTACAGACAGAGGCTGAAGCTCTCCAAACCTGTCGTGAGGACAAAAAACTGTGGAGCAACGAGGCTGTGGAGGAGCTTCGCACGTGTTTGGAGTCCACAGACTGGGACACAATGAAGGCTGCTTCTAACAGCTTGGACGAGTTTACGGACACTGTCACCTCCTATATCCACTTCTGTGAGGACAGCATTGTGCCATCACGCACCAGGGTGAGTTATAACAATGACAAACCCTGGTTTACTCCTAAACTCAAAAAGCTGTGGCTGGAAAAGAGAAAGGCGTTCAGAAGCGGAGACAGGGACTGCTACAGAGAGGCCAAGTACAGGTTCACTAAAGAAGTGGACATTGCTAAACATCAGCACTCTGAGAAGATGCAGCAGCAGATCTCAGAGAATGACTCGGCCTCTGTGTGGAAAGGTTTTAGGAATATCACCAACTACAAGCCTAAAACCCCCCACTCCACTGACGACTTGCTCTTAGCCAACACCCTTAACGACTTCTACTGTCGTTTTGACGAGCCATCAGGCAGCCTTCACACCTCCAACGACCCCAACAATAGAGGCACTTTGGACACTCATTCCCCCACCTCTCCCCCCTCCATAGAGCCATCACCACCTTCAAACTTTCACCTGCAACACCCGCCTCCTCACCCCACACAAAAGAGGATTTCACACCACCTCCTCCCACCACAACTCTTCATATTCATGAAGCAGATGTGAGGAAGCAGTTTAAGGAGTCTGAATGCTCGGAAAGCTCCCGGCCCAGACGGTGTGTCTCCTGCCACCCTCAGACACTGTGCAAACGAGCTGGCCCCAGTGTTTTCTGGCATTTTCAACTCCTCACTGCAGGCATGTCATGTGCCTGCCTGCTTCAAGTCCTCCACCATAATCCCTGTCCCCAAGAAACCTAGGATCACTGGACTAAATGACTACAGACCCGTGGCTCTGACATCTGTGGTCATGAAGTCATTTGAGCGCCTAGTTCTCTCCCATCTCAAGACCCTCACGGCCCCCCTCCTGGACCCCCTGCAGTTTGCATACAGAGCCAACAGGTCTGTAGATGACGCCATCAACATGGCCCTACACTTCATCCTGCAGCATCTGGACTCCCCAGGAACCTACGCCAGGATCCTGTTTGTGGACTTCAGCTCTGCCTTCAACACCATCCTTCCAGACCATCTCCAAGGCAAGCTTTCCCACAAAGAGTTGACCATCCAGCACTGCTCACAGCACCAAGGAGGTTTCTGCTCTGCATGAAGCAGGCAGCAGGACATCTGTACAGTAGATGCTTCTGAGCTTTAGTGAACCTTCTTTTCACAAAACTTCCACTTTTACTGTCCGGTGAGAATCAGCGTAGTCACTCTGCATCCTAGACAATCTGCCAGTGATCTTTAATGTCTCATGTGTTTGAGACGGCACGGAGATTTGAATATCCTTATGTAAAAACTGCAGCATGAGGTCAAATGAGTTTAGCGGATTTTAATTTGTTCCTGTGGAGTCGGCCTGCCTGCGTCCCCGTGTCGATCCACCAGTGTGCAGCAGCCTGCAGGTTTGTGCCAGGAAGCTCTCAGAGCTGACATTTACAATTATCACAACCCTGCACTTCATTACTACACATGGAGAGAGAAACCTACTGTACAAGTGCACGCGACACATTTATAGTAACGGTACAAAAAGACTTGAACAGCAAAATGCACCAAAGAAACCTAACAACCAAAAAACACTTGCAGGCGTAAAAGAATGAAATCAGGCTCATGTCTGAAGTTAAATGAACACTTTGTGTAGAGCCTGTGTGAGCTCCTCAGTGAGTCTGATCACCTGCTTACTGTTTGTTTGCAGCTTCAGTCAGACCCCAGGACCCGACTCTCATCAGGTTTTCTGCACAGTGCATGTGAATCGATTATGAAGTGACAGATTTTTAACTGATCGTTTGGTCAGTTCTTTTCTGGCATTTTGGCTCCACCTGGACTGACGCGAGGTTTTGCTACATGGAAAAAAAAGTTTGTCCAAATGAATTAAAATGACTGTTCAATAGCAGAAGGTAGCAGCACAATGTTCCTGAGAAGCACTGAAGCATCTGAGGCTGGGAGTTTGTGTGGCTCCCTCTGCAAACAGTCAAACAGGCTGATGGGAGCAGCAGGTCAGTGAAACGCTCTACAGGCTCGTTTTTAATCCTTTATTCCAACAAGTTTAACAAGCAGAATAATTCAAACACTTCAGGCAAGTTCCACTTCCTTTCAAGTTTGTGTAAAGAAACAACTGAGCTGCCAACTCGGTCAAAACTACCAATAAACTGTCATTAAATACAATATACTCCCAACTGGGTTAGGGTTCTTATTTTTATTGGGTTGATAATTTAGATGAAGATGTCATTTTCTTCCCTACAGGTCCAGTATACCCAGACTTTCTCTCTAATATTGAACCTCATGATTAACAGCTGAAAGTAACAGTAGCACGCTCCTGAAAAGCACCGAAGCCTCACAAAGAAACACAGATGCTGTAAAACGTACACTTTTTGCACCATTTCTTCTACATTTGAAGGTTTAATACGAGGAGACGATCTGTGCTCCACCAAAAACAGAAATACATTTGTTTTACTAGTTTCTTATTACTTTTATGATTAAAAGAAAATAATTTCATACATTGCACAAGTTTTGTATTTGGCAGCAGCAGCATGGTGCTCCAGAGATCAGTGCTGCTATCTTTCAGATATGAAAATTCAGAGTTTGAATCTTCCTGCTTGGTTTCTGCAGATTTCCTTCACACCTGCCTGTTAGCTGGAGACTCATTGGTTGTAGGTGCATGTGGTCGCACGTGGACCCACTCTGCACTGTGTGGACCCACTCTGCACTGTGTGGACCCACTCTGCACTGTGTGGACCCACTCTGCACTGTGTGGACCCACTCTGC